GCCTCCGCCTCCACTCCCGCCTTCCTGCCTCCGCCATCCCCTCCGCTCCCGCTCCCGCGCCCACTCCCGCTCCCGCTCCCGCTCCACTTCCACCCCCGCTTCCACTTCCACTCCGCCTCCTTCCGCCTCCGCCCCCTTCTTCTTCTTCTTCTTCTTCTTCTTCTTCTTTTTCTTCTTCGTTCTTCTTTCTTCTTCTTCGTTTTCTTTCTTGTTCTTCTTCTTCTTCTTCGTCTTTGTCTTTGTCTTCGTCTTCGTCTTCGTCTTCGTCTTCGTCTTCTCTCTTCTTTCTTTTTCTTTTTCTTTTTTTTCTTCTTCTTGTTCTTCTTTCTAGAAAAATGGTCAATTAAACCGAGTAAGTTGCTAAGAAACTCTGAGTAAAGTTTTGACAAAAGTTAGGCAGTTGACTATCGATTTGTTCAGTGATTGTTTTTTGTTGTGCAATAGCATTTCTTCTTTCTTCTTTCTTCTTTCTTCTTTCTTCTTTCTTCTTCTTCTTCTTCTTCTTCTTCTCCTTTCTACTTTCTTCCTTCTTCTTCTCCCTCTTCTTCTTCTTCTTGTTTAATCTTCCTTTGCAGCAAGTGTGTGCTCCCAAAACTGTTATAGGCCTTTAACAAGTGTGTGCTCCCAAAACTGTTATAGGCCTATAACAAGTGTGTGCTCCCAAAATTGTTGTAGGCCTAAAAACACCTTTGCACAGGCACACACTCAAAGGTCTCTCACGAAATTTGTCCGCACTTGCAACTCAAAGTTGACACACACGGACGCACGCAGACACACACGGACGCACGCAGACACACACAGACGCACACAAACACATGCGTCTACACACACTCGGTAGAGGCCTCTGAGCACCTCTGTCCGTACTAAGCACTCTCGCACATTTCTCTTTGTGTGCAGTCTGTTCGTGACGATGAAGTCAACCCAAGGCGCGAGGGGAATGCCTCAGGCGAGAATCTCCGGGCCAGCCCAGACAGTATCTTCTTGGGGACAGCCAGCATGCTCAGGAGGGGTTGTGCAACAAAGGCAACCACCACAGTCTGACGTCTTTCCAGTCGTAGTGGGAGAGGATGATACTCCCCAATGCGGAGAAGGAGGCGAAGAGGAACTTTTCGAAGACGAAGGGGAGTACAACGAAGAAGGTGAAGGAGAGGAAGAGACAGGA